CTTGTTTAACAAAATCTGCCTACAAGAAAATCTGTCACCAAAGTATACCAACACACCATATTTAAACATTGATTGTGAAATACAAGAGTTTATTGTTTAAATATTACCATTCTAAGAAACCCTTAGTCTTGTATACAATTGAACCAGTATGTAAATTATTGCTCATATGAATTCTTAAGGATTTATTTAAAAATTAAAACTTTTATTTTTTATAATTCGATCAGATTGTATAGATTAATGAGTACAAAATGTATATTAATCACTGATATACCTGATGCTTAGATTTTCCATAACCTGGCAAGCTATTTTCACAGATTGTAACAAGTTAAGAAAGTTCGTGACGAATGTCCCCTGGTGGGACAGCGGTCACTTTACGGACTAATAGCGCTAAGATTCGGGGTTCGATTCCCCTATGGTGGACACAGCCGATGGCCAACTGTGGCCACGAATAGTAATGAATAGTTTCGATTATATATCATACCAACTGTTTTTAATCACGTATATTTTTAATAACGCTAAGATCCGGGGTTCGATTCCCCCATGGTGGACACAGCCGATGGCCAACTGTGGCCACGAATAGTAATGAATAGTTTCGATTATATATCATAACAACTGTTTTTAATCACGTATATTTTTAATAACACCAAGATCCGGGGTTCGATTCCCCCATGGTGGACACAGCCGATGGCCAACTGTGGCCACGAATAGTAATGAATAGTTTCGATTATATATCATACCAACTGTTTTTAATCGCTTATATTTTCAGTGTTAGCGTTTACTGGTAAAACGATGGTGTTTATTCATTTTAGTAATCCATATTACATTAAAATAAATGGATAAAAATGTGATTAATCAACGTTTTTGATCGGGACGTTGGTTAATTATGTGCCTTTCCTTTCGTGCGGGCAAACCCCAGCGTATGGAAATAACAATCGTGTTAATTCAATTTAATGTAATTTATTTTCGAGACTGCACAATGGGTTAACTGCGATGTTCCCACCATAAGGATCGAACCCGAATTTTAGAATTAAAAGTCTGGAAGTTTACTGCAGAGCCAATTGAAATACAGCACAGAGCGTGTAAACTTTTCATACAGGCTTTCCCACATGAATAAAAGAAATATTTACAAGAATGGTATAAATTTTATAAAGATAGTCATTACGTCACTATGACAAAGATCAATGAAGGTATTCCAAAATTAAATGAATTGTAGTATTAGTATAAATATATATATACATATATATGTATGTGTGTGTATTAGTACTATAGTTATACACATATGTATATACTGTGTTTATTGTGCTTTCGTAGATTGCGCAAAGAAACATTACAATAAGACTTAATAATTAATAGAATTAACACTTGGTGCAGTATGGGTTAATATCATAAAAATGTATTAAAGAAGCAAAAAATCAAGCTAGTGCTCAAAGCACATTTCAATTACATTCTTGTTGTAGAACGTTTATCCCATTCATAAGCATTTCTTCCTAACAGTAGCTTGTTTTCATTTTGTTCGTCGTCCCTCGTTTTGAACTTACAGACTAGAGGGAAGGCAGCTAAGCTAGGCAACATCACCCACTGCCAACTCTTGGGTTATTCTAATCGAATAATGATACTGACTGTAACTCTAAATAATGCAACCACAGCTCCAAAGTGAGAAACACGATTTTCAGGGAACGGGACGCGAACCATGGACCCTGTTATTCACAGTCCGGCACGCTAACCGCTAGACAACGCCTAGTCCAGTTTATGGGATAAAGTCTCAAAATCTGGAACTTATAAGCACTGTACCGGAATATAGAGTTGAACATCTAAACCTACACCAAATGTGTATAAAGATTAACACCAAATGCACTAAGATGTTGGTTACCGTTACAGTATTATCTAGTACAAGCTCACCATATTTGGTAGAAATAATTGGGTAACTAAGTTAAAGACAGTTAAATGCTTGATTTTAATAATTGGCTGACGAGCTTTCTTAGACAATAAAATTGTGATTTTTTTCATGCTGCTTTGCAAACGCACATGCTCTCCGGTTTTTACGTGAACACGTGCATTTTTATAGGGAATATTCTTATGTTAAATGTCACGTTCTCTTTTGCTATAAAACTATTATTTCATTTTAAAAATATATTAAGTCTAGTATTTTCTTATTCTGCCTTAATCCTACGGCAGTAAAAATAGTCGTACATTACAAAATCCTTTCTTTCCTCGTGTTTTCTTCTTTATGTCAATTTAGTCATTTTTCTTTCGGGTAATTTAATAGAGAAATTTATTTTATGTTGTATCATTATGATTACAGTGCTTTATTTGAAGATTGGAGACCGGGTTTAGCGGAGCTTCTGCAGCCTATACCCTTTCATCCCGAGTAAGTTGTTTTATTGTATCTAAAGTATTCCACAC